AACAACAACAACCAGTTGAAAACAAACCAAACTAAAATTTTTTACTGAGATGAAATGACCGAAGAAGTTGAAACGGTAGATTTGACACCACAAACAAAAAGTTCAGAACCATTGTCAAAACCTGTCAAAGAACTTACAGATGAAGAGAAAAATTCAATAATAGAAAGTGCCAGGTCTGGAAATACAAACTCTAACTACAAAGTCACTTTTCATAAAAATGGAACGGCTAGTATCTCAAAAAAGAAACAGACTCTCACAAATAAAATATTGAAGTCTGAAGGAGCTTTCGAGACAACAGATGGAAAAGTTTACTTCACTGACCAACAGTTCATTATAGAACATCTCATTGACTTAGAGTCGAAATATTCTAAACTTTACAACAAACACAAAAAGTTGAAAGGGAAACAAAAACAAATGGCATATGATATTTATGAAGATGTTGACGACACAACTGTTCCTGCAAGTGAAGTAAAGTCAGATGAACCGAAAAGTGACGAAAAACCAATAGAAGAAGAGAAACCAAAAACTGAAGATAAACCAAAACCAAAGTTTAGTTTCAATACTAAACCAAGTCAACCTTCATTAGCTGGTATGGGTTGGCGTCAAAGACTTTTGGCAGCCGGTGGTTACGTAAAGTAAAGGAAAAAACATTTTTTTATTTTTATAAAAATGCCCCCGTATAGAATGGACAGAAGGTCTGCTAGAATAAAAGCAGAGTTAGAAAGATATGGTTGGAAAGTTTCGAAGAATTTTAAATATAGGAAGGGAAGACCCATAAAAGTCTATGACAAACTGGCTGGTCTTCGCTACGAAATGGACTTGGAAACAGCACGTGCAAATTATCCAAACAGACTAGAGAGGTTAGAAGAAGAACGTCTTATGGACATGCCTTTCGATGTTAGTGAACCTCAGGTTGAAGGACACGACGGCTTTGCCAGATTCTACTGGAAACATGACGAACAATTGTATCCTTTGAGGAGGAAAAAAGGGAAGGGTGAAGATGCACATGCTCCCATGGAAAGAACAAGATATGCATATGAAAAGTATCGTGAGGTTAGAAGTCAAATTACATCTGGTCGAACCTTTACAGTAAACTTTGACGAAGGAAAGAACAAAGAAGGCTTCATGGGAGTACTTGCTGCAATTCAAGACGGAAATAAGAAAGGATACAATCTCAGACTAACCGTAACAGATTTAGATGGTCATATTTACTATGCACATGGCAATGTCACAACAGCCGCACAACTTCTTGACGCTTTCAAGACTACAAAGAGAGAACAAATGGTTGACTCCGACTCAGATATTTTGAATGCAATTGAAGGAATTGCAAGCGTGAAGTTCGAATGGTACCAACCTAACCCTCAAGCAGTCAGACAACATGCTGGATACTTCCCGTTCAGAAATAAGTCTGACATTGACTTAACAAGGTATGGAATTTACAATTCAATTGAAACAATTGTCAATGAACCTTGTATTCTTACATGTCTCAGGAACTCTGGTCTTGTTACAGATGAGAAGATGAAGTATCTTGAGTCATGTGTGAAAACAAGGTACATTCTCAGAAGTCAATTGTCAAAAGTTGCACCGTTGGCAAATGTGAATATCCGAGTCAACATTCCGACTGAGAAAGGTTCTTCACATGACGACTATGTTGTTGACTTCAAATTGCCATGGTTGAAGATTGTACTTGTCCACAACCACTTCATGTTGAACGAAAGTCTTACAAACCCATTGTTCGGAAAAGGCAAGTGCAACATTGTCAGAGCTGTTAACATTCTTTTCGAGAAAGGCTTGTTGGAACCAATTCCAGATGACAAGCTGACAGAAACTTTTGTACCAAAAGACGAAACAAACTTTTCATTGTTGGTAAGACCAAAAGTTGTTCCAGACAAAGTTATAGCACAAAAGAAGTACACGGTTCCAAAAGGAGTTGGATTGTTCGTATACCAACCTGAACCAGAAGAACTTCCAATGAGGTTGCAAGAACTTCAAGATGCTATAAACAAACTTCCATTGAGACATCCAGTCGACGTCAAATTGTATTGGAGAGCATCTGAGTTAGGTCAGAAGGTTTTATATGAAACAGGTTGCTTTGACGATGTTTATGAGATAACAGGCGAGGTTTCTCAGAAGATAAGAGACTCACTTGAATTTCCACGAACTGGACCGATTGGATGCGACAAGTTCGACTCATACGAAAAAATATACTATGTCGACCTTAACGCTGCGTACATGAGGTTCGTCCAATATATTCCGACTGGAATTCCAAACGAAAAAGGTGAGTTCCCGGGAAGGAACTATACAGTTGGAAAAGTCATACAACAACTCTATGATATTAGGAAAGCTTCAAACCCCAAACTTGCAATGACACTCAAATTGCTTATGAATTCGACATGGGGATATTCCATTAAAAAACCTCAAGCGATGAAGAGTAAACACTATGAGAAGGTCGACAACTTTGTTGAAAGGTTTTCTCCTTTTGTTTTGAAGTACGAGTTCACCGAAGGTCAAAATGGCTTAGTAACCACAGTAAAACCTATTGTCGAACATTGGTCTTATCCTCAGTTCGCAAAGGCAGTCCTTGACAACTACAACAAATTCTTCTCAGAGGTTAAATCCAAAGTGAAGGTATACTATGAGAACATCGATGCGCTCATGACGAACGAGGAAGGCTATAACAAACTCATTGAAATGGGAATGGTCGGTGAGAAGATGGGCTGTTTTAAGCTAGACAAGGTATTTTCCGAAGTTCATGTCCTCTCCAAACGTAAGTACTGGGCCGTACTTGAAAACGGCACAGAAATAAAACATTGCATGAAATAAAAAATTGCATACCATTTTAAAACGTTTTTAAAACAGTATATTTTTACATATATTAAATGCTTCAGGTTGAAAAACAAAGAACAAAAGTAGCAGATACAAAACCGTTAGACTATATCTTTACAAACGCTGGTAGAAATATTTCAGATGAAGAAATTTCATCTCGATCTTACAGGTTTGACTATCCAATTCGTTGGCTTCAAAGTCCTTCAGATGCAAAGGCAATAGGATTTAGAAGAGTTTTGTTTTCAAATAGAACTAACGCATTCATGTTCGCAGTATATTTTCACGGTCAGTATAAAGGCTCTGATGGTCTAATAGAAAAATTTGACGAAATGAAAATCTTTACAATTCGTTCAGACGAAAGTCTTGAAAAAACTCTAAATGACTTTCAAACTCAAATAAACAAATACTACTGGGAATTTCAAGAAAAATATGACTCTTTACTAAATGGAACATACTATCTGAAACTAGAATACGACAAGATGAACTCCACAGTTTCATTTCAAAAGATTGAAATTAACCCTCCAAGAGATACAGAGTTTTTATATTGGGGAGTAGACAGGCGTTCTTGGGCACAATTTCTTCGGTTACTAAACCAGAACGAACCATTACCACCAGATGGTCCATTTAAATTTATACTCCCACCAGCAGATTTGACAGTTTATAGAAACGTGTTTGACCCTCAAAATGTCATGTGTCATGCAAGTTTCAGTTCAAGCAACAACAGTTTTCTTTGTATCGGTAAGGACTTTTATGACTTTGCTTCTAAATTCTACGAACCACCTAGTAACAGTTTCTCTGACTTTCAAGTTTGGTTCACAACAAACGGTGTGCAGCATATTCTTCCATTGTACTATGACTTTTATCTCGAATTGTCTTTCATATACAACTACGGAAAAGTGCTGAAAAAGTATTGAAAAATATATTTTAGATCTCACCAGGTCCCTCGGTCCCTCGGTCCCTCGGTCATTTTAACTTCTCTGAAAAAGTGTGACAACATGACATTTTGACAACAACACAGGAGATAGATTTCTTCGTCAATGTTTTGTATAAAAAGCACCCGCCGGAATTCCGGCAGGTGGTATATTCTTCACAAAATGCTTGTTTTGTCAAGACTTTCTTCGTCAATGTTTTGTATAAAAAGCACCCCGCGGAATTCCGGCAGGTGGTATATTCTTCACAAAATGCTTGTTTTGTCAAGACTTTCATCGTAAATGTTTTGTCAAACATAAACGTAAATGTTTTGTCATGACTTCTTCATCGTATTCTTTCACCCGTTGAATTTTGTATAAAAAAGCAACCGCCGGAATTCCGGCGGTTGGTATATTCTTCACAAAATGCCTGTTTTGTCAAGACTTTCATCGTATATGTTTTGTATAAAAAGCACCTGCCGGAATTCCGCGGGGTGGTATATTCTTCACAAAATGCCTGTTTTGTCAAGACTTTCATCGTCAATGTTTTGTATAAAAAGCAACCCGCGGAATTCCGCGGGGTGGTATATTCTTCACGAAATGCTTGTTTTGTCAAGACTTTCATCGTATATGTTTTGTATAAAAAGCACCTGCCGGAATTCCGCGGGGTGGTATATTCTTCACAAAATGCTTGTTTTGAGGTCGAGCCAAAAGTGGCTCCACCGTATTTTTCAACCAAAACTCGTTCATTTTGTTGTTCCCGGACCAAAAAAATATATTTTAGGTGAAGAGGTGAGATCTCACCTCTTTTCTCACCTCTTTTCTCACCCGTTGAATTTTCATGAATTTTCCCGAAATAAAAAAAGTTAGTTTTTTAAAAAAAATATTTTTTATTTTTATTGTAAGAACATGTTAGCAACAACAGCACCAAACTCGTTAGTCATGAACCCAACATCTATGTTAGTAGAGATGAAAAGCTTCATTCCTTCTTCATATACTTTCGAAACAGAAATCCAGAAGATAAAGCAAGAACTTCTCCAAGGAGATTTAGACTGTAGTGCGAAAGATGAAACAAATGAAGAATATCTTTATGAAATGCAGGATATTATTGACCATCTACCTAAACTTCCTGAAATACAACAACAAAAGCTTACTATTCCTGAATTCGATGAAATAGAAGTCAAAGCAACTGACTCAGTAGAAACCAAGAAGTTCATACGTAAGGTAAACTATGAGTTTCTTGGATTTCATTGCAACCACAAAGTCATGGACAAAGATTGCGATATGGTATATAAAAATGTTTCTGACATATACAAATCTGAAGAATTTAAGACCTACGACAACTTTGTTTCGTTAGTTGCAAAATGTGTATGGCAGATAAGAGATAAAGATAAAAGAGGTAAAGTATGGAACGAACAGATAAAACCAGCAACTTTTGAGTTAAAGAAAACCATTGACGCCTTAGTCATACTTGCAGGTTTTATTTCAATGTACAATGCTAAAATGAACCCACAATGTTCAAAATGTAAAGCAGCAATGAGGAAATATAACTACTCCGTCAAAGAGATAGAACGTATGCGAAACGACTATGCAGATTTAAAGAAAGAAGTAGAGAAACCAGCAGAAGATAAAATGGACATGTTGACATTTCTGAACAAAAACTATCCAACAGCTGACGATTTCCTTCTATCTGATGTCAAGAAGAAATATAAAGAAACATTCGGCATAGTTAAAACTTTTGACATACTGACAGAAGAAATAGAAGCTACAAAACTGTTTAGGATTTCAAATATACATCGTACAATTCATGTAAGACGCTTGTGAAAAAGAGGTGAGAAAACAGGTGAGAAAACAGGTGAGATCTCACCTCTTCACCTAAAATATATTTTTGCTGAGTAAAATGACCAAATTTCATTATATAACTGTTATGAGTGACGAAGAGAACTTTGACACTTCGTAAAAAAAACATATACGAAGAAATCTATTTCCTGGACTGTTGTCTAAATGTCATGTTGTCACACTTTTTCAGAGAAGTTCATTTGACCGAGGGACCGAGGGACCGAGGGACCTGGTTCCACCTAAAATATATTTTTGCTGAAAAAAATGACCAAATTTCATGAATTTCCTCATATGTTTGCGACCGGTGGAAAACCGCGGGTCGAGATTCCGTACGAAAATCGTAAAAAAAACTCATGAAAATCGTGGAAAATTGCTACCCCGACTTTTCTCGGTCTTGCATAAAACTCATGAAAATCGTAAAAAATTGCGACCCCGACTTTTCCCGGGGTCGCCTAAAACTCATGAAAATCGTAAAAAATTGCGAGTACGGAAAAAACCGTAGTCGCCTAAAACTCATGAAAATCGTAAAAAAACTCTATGAAAACAGTGAAAAAATGCGAGTGGGAGAAAAACCCTGATCGCCAAAACTCTATGAAAATCGTAAAAAAACTCTATGAAATCATATCTTTTATACAAGATAGAAAAAATAAAATTAACGCTAGTTTTTTTAAAATATTTTTTTTTATTTTGTATGTAAAGACAGGAAATGACAAGCACTGAGTTTGAAACAGTTAGAAAGATAGACAATGAGACCAAAATAGTTAGAATAGGTGATTTAAACGTAAGATACTCAAAGAAATACAACAAATATTCTTTGTCAGACATTTTAACACTATCTGAAGGAAAGAAAGCACACGGCTGGGTTAGAAATGCTTCTACTCAGAAAATTTTGACAAAAAATCCTGAGCTTATGATATCGGTAAGATTCTATGGAACAAGAGCATATCTCATCGACAAAAGTCTTATACCAGTAGTTTTGTTCTGGATTGACCCAGTTGTTGGATATAATTTCATAACATATGGTTCATTCGATACTGAACGTTGCAGTGAAGGCTTAGTTTACATCGTTCAGAAACCGAAGGACTTCAATACAAAGAGATATAAGATAGGAAGAACATTTAATATAACTCAAAGATATGACAGTACAGTCAATAGAGTTAAGGTTGCGTTTGTTAACGATATGAGAGCTGCTGAAACAGAACTACTTGAAAAGTTTGAGAAAATGTATGGTGCTCCCACGAAAGGTAAAGAAACTTTCGAAGTAGATGAGATCGACAAAGCTATAAAATTATTTGACGAAGTTGCTGAAAAATACATGTAAAGCGTTTATTTTTGGTCTTTTATACAAGATAGAAAATAACGCTAGTTTTTATAAAATATTTTTTTTATTTTGTATGTAAAGACAGATATGTCAACATCAGAGAACACAACAACTGCTATCGTTCATGAAGATATAAATGAAGAATACGAGTGGGTTCAGTATAACAAACAGTTACGTCTCATTCGTTCGGTCAAAGATGACATGTACCAAATGCAAAGTATTTTGAATGCTCTTCGTTCTACAAAGCAAGCATACCATTGGTTTGAAAACCAACAGACAAAAGAACTTTTAGAAGAATTTCCTCATATGTTTGCGACCCTCGGAAAACCGAGGGTCGAGATTCCGTACGAAAATCGTCAAAATTTGCCAAATGGTTTGAGAGGTTGGTATGTACATAGACTTCTTGTAAATGCTGTTGCAATGTGGGCTTCACCTCGCTATGCTTGTTATATTTTCATGATGTTAGATGAAATTCATAGACAAGAACGTGAAGAGCTAGAGAACAAGCTTGAAGCAAAAGACAAAAACATACAGAAAAGAATACCACGTTCGGTACCAAAAGGAAAGGAAAAGAACTATAAGTATATGATTTACACTGAAGAGATGGAAAATGAAGAAGACAGAGATATGGTTATGTTGCATTTAGTCAGAAGAAACAACAAAAGCTTTTACGACTTAGCTAAGATTTACAAATCTGACAGAAATTGGTTCTATCGCGAAAACTTACCGATTTCAATGACACCAAATGAAGATGTTAAACAGATAGTTCAAGATACGTTACCTCAAACACACTATGATATGAAAGGTTGTACAATACTTACATTCAAAGAAGATTTGCCGCTACTGAAAGAAAAAATAACAGAGTATTTTGACAACTTCAAAGAGGAAGAGTAAATGAACCATTTATTTTTCAAGCTTGACACCAAAGATGGCTCAGGTAGCTCTAGATGGTAAATTGTCTTGTCCGAGTCCTTCTGGCATTCCGAGTCCTTCCTTCCGACAGGAAAAGTTTTTCCTTCCAACAGGAAAAGTTTTTCCTTCCGACAGGAAAAGTTTTTCTTTCCGACAGGAAAAATTTTTCTTTCCGACAGGAAAAATTTTTCTTTCCGACAGGAAAAATTTTTCCAGTTGTCCGTCCGTAAACCATTCAAATTTTCGAAAATTGAGAACTTTTTGGCCGACCTTCAGGAAAAATTTTTCTTTCCGACAGGAAAAATTTTTCTTTCCGACAGGAAAAATTTTTCTTTCCGACAGGAAAAGTTTTTCTTTCCGACAGGAAAAGTCCTTCCATCCGACAGGACACAAACGAATGTCCGACGTACCACCAACCGAGTCCATTCCAAAGCCAGAAGAACCGACAGCCCCAGCACCACAACAGACTAAGACTCAAACACTTACATTTTTACGCTTGACTTTTTACAATTTGAACTTTGTTTGCGTAGATATGAATTCTGAAAGAAGTATGAGGGTCTTGTATGACTTTGTACTTCTCCCATAGTTCATGTCTGTCAAACTTACCTGCCATGGACTCTTTCATAAGTTCCATGAAATCGTCTTCGGACAATCCGGGGAAAAGTACAATGTCAGTAAGTATTCTCTTTACATCCTTACTTAAACTCTTGGCTGTCTGTACACAAATGACAACTGAAATGTTAAAGTGTCTGAGCTTCTTAAGAATTCGACACATGTCTTGTTCTCTGTTCTTTAACAAAGGATGAGAAGCAAAGTCATCTAAGATAAGAAGACATCTGTGAGGGTAAGTCTTCCAATCGTAAGATTGCAATTTCTTCGAAATGTATTCTATCTCTTTCTGTTTGTTTCTGAAGTGTTTCTTCTCTAATATTCTCTGCATTTCCTCATTTGGGTCTTTAAACTTAGAATTGACATACTCATTTATAGCATTGTACTTCAAAACTCTTCTTTGGTACTTCTTTATCCAATCTAACAACTCAGTATCTTTTATACATACTAACTTAGACTTTTTTATAATATCTTTGAACGAATTTACGGTTTGGTCAAATTGACCAGAAGTACTACAAATGACTACTAACTCATAGAATGGGTTCTTCTCATCTAGTTCTTGTTGTTGTGCAGCCATTTTAAGATAAGTGAAAGTCTTACCCGACCCAGGTGGTGCGATTAGACCTGTTATACCATTCTGAGCAAATAAGAACTTGTCATGTATGGGTTTTATCTGAGCATTTTCCAACTTCCTCTTGTTCTTATTTAAAACATTCTCAAATTTTTTGTCAATGTCAGCAAACTTTTTTTCTAACATATTTTTAGAAAAATTAAAATTTTTATCTTTTAGGAAATGTCTAGCGATTTCGCTATCTATATTCGAGACAAGCTTTTCGACAGCAAAACATCTGTCGACCATAAAATCTTACATAGTGTAAACAAGAAAGGGAATTTGTTCTAAAGTTCTGTTTCTGGGAATATGACAAGAACCATAAAACCTTAAGCAGAGAAGTCTTAAAATTTGTCAATGACAGACTTGTTGACAGAGATGACGCCTCTTGGAGAGATGAAGTCCAACAAAACTTCTTAGAATGCAAAGAAGACACATGCGCTGTTCTTGAAAATGAAATAGAAAACAGAATAGAAGAGCTATTAAAGGACAAAGACCTTTTACAAAAATATGGTTCTGAGAAGTTTGACATAACTCCACCAGAAAAGAAGAAGAGAGAAAAGAAAGAAAAGAAAGTAGAAGAAGAGAAGAAAGAACCAGAGCCAGAGAAAAAGAAATTTGACATGTAAAAATAAAATTTTATTTTTAGAACATTTCTGGGTCAATGTCAATGTTCTCTTCCTCTTTAGGAGCAAAACACTGGCTTAGACTCTAAAATCTTTTTACCCAATTTACCTTGAACTTCAACTATCTTAGACTCATAATATTCATAGTCGTCTGCTTTCTTTGGTTCATAGGGTATAACAAGTTTGTATGCTTTGCCTTCTTTAAGGTTTGAAAACCTTCTGTCAAAACTTTCTTTGACTGTTAACAAACCTTCTATGTCTAAGTCTTCAAATTTCGCACCATTTTTAGTCACAATAGCAAACTTAACTGGTTCGATGTTCCAAACTTTGTCAAATGTAGACTTTTCAAAATGGTAGAAGTAAACATTCAAATATGTGAATGGGTCTAGTTCTTCTTTAAGTCCTGACATGTACTTGTTGACTGAGATGAATTTCGTCATCTTTTCTATCGGATAAAAAAATATTTTTTTTAAAATTTACTCAGAAAAATTTTTCTTTGTATATACACCATTCTGTACGTCTAAAAGACTTTTGACATTTGCCAAGAATGTTCGTTTAGACGCTGTCATATAACCATATTCTTGACAATACTGTTTATACGAATCGTACAATGACCTTTCATCTAAACACTCAAAGTCAGTTTCATCTATGAACAGTTCATATACACTCTTGTTTGCTTCTAACAATGTTTGTCTCTCTTCGGTATGTGGAATTTGTCTTGGATTGAACTTGAAATATCTAATGTCATGAAATATGAGAACAAGTGGTTGTAAAAGTCAGTGTCAAAGTTTCTGCTAAGTCGTCAAAATATTCTGTATCTTGCATATGAGCTTCTGACGTTCTGACAACTACATATCTTCTGTCAGAACTTTCTAACTTCATCGGAACGGCGTTGTTTGAAACCATGACGAAGTTTGCAACATTTTCACAAACTCTTTGGTCTTTATATTTTCTTTCAACAACTCCAACTTTGTCTGTTATAAGACTCTTCAAAGCATCTGAGTTCAAAACTTTTGTTGTATCTATACTTTGAAGTTCGTTACATACTATAAGTTTCATATTCTCTATTGAAGAGTTAAATTTACCGCAGATGTTTTCTAAGTTTGTCATATTAGGGTTCGAATAGCCCTCTAACAGTTTGCCATAAGATATCTGTAAAGAAAGTGTTCTTACCTGTTCCTTGTTTTCCAATTATGATGAGAGCAGTTTCATTTTTAGCACTTGGATGTTGTAAGATGTTTGCAAACCAACATAAGATATACTCATAGACTCTTTCGTTTCCATTGCATATAATTTCTTTGACATGGTCTAACCAAGCTTCTATAACATTTTCTTTCCATTCTACTTGTTCGTATTTATATCCAGTGAAGATAGAATAGAAGTTTGGAGATGGTGTATAGAACTTTATACCACGAACTGAAAAATCTTCTAACTTTGACAATAAGATATCCCAAGCATCTAACATCTTCATACCAACTTGTACGACTTTTATTTTCTTAAGTTTCTGTTTACATTCTTGTTCTGAAACTATTGTCGCTTTAGGTTTGTTAAAGACTACATCCCATTCTTTCATGACATAACATTCTGGGGCAGAGTCGACATAAATGACTAAACGTTTCAAATTCTCGACTGCTTTGTTATAGTCTCTAAATGGACACATATTTCTGAACGCTTGGAAGTCATAAAAATCTGAAACGTCTATTCTGTACATTTTTTTATAAAAATAAAAAAAATATTTTTTTTCTTGAGCTATTTGTTGTTCTTGACTTTGTTGTTGCATTTGTTCCATTTGTTGCATTTGTTGTTCTTGAGCTATTTGTTGTTGAAGTTGTTCTTGTAGTACAATACTTTCACCAGTTGCATCTTCCAATTCGAAACTTTCTGCCGTCATTGACAAATACATAGGACATAAAAGTTTTACAGGAACAAAGTTTGCGTCAACTAAGGTTAAGTTTATGTTTGCTAAAGTGTTTGAGTTTACTAAAGCTGAAAACTCTGCATTCGAATGAACAATAGGCAAACCAGCAGAGAAAGTGTTGTTTATACGCATGAGTATCTTTTGGTCATAGTAGTTTCTGTCGACATTCGAATAGCACTTTGAACCTAAGTTTGAAACAATATATAAAATAGGTGTACTTAAAGTCAATGGAACAGACATTCCTTGTATGACACCTTTTCCTGTTATAGGAAACTGTTGGTAGTAAAAACCAGATATAAGTTTTGTATTATAGCTCATATCGTTTATACTAAACTCAGTCGGACATCCAAACATAATGAAACCTGCTCTAGTTGCAGCACATGTTACATCCGTCCTTAAAGTATTAAATAAGTCAACAAAACCTGTTGGTGGTATATCTGAGTAAGTATCTTCAAAGGAGTATTTTTTACCATTCACAACAACAAAGTCTTCTGGTGTCAAAAGAGCAAAACAGGCTTTAGTCGTCATCGTGTTTAAGGTCAGTTTACAATATCGTCCTTGAGGACTTTGTAAGTTTGTTGTTATAGAATTATATGACTCAGGGTTTTTAGTCGTAATAGTATAAACCACTATGTCTTCTGCCATTTACTTAGCAAGTAAATTTTAATGAAATGTTGTGGTCGTCAAATATTTTTATGACGTCTGGGAAACTATATTTTAAGTTCAACGTTTCACCTCCTTTCATAACGTATATCTTGTCAATGACATTATATGAAACACCACAGCAAGCAATGTCGGGTTCTATTTCTTTGATGTTTATATCGTCTGCCTCTGTCAAAAGTTTCAATAGTTCTTTCAAAATTTCATGAGGTGCAATGACATATGAGTTCACTTTTACAGGGTTGTGTTCGACCAAGTTTAACATTATACCCAAAGCTTGACAAATCTTCTCCTGAGTTTTAAGTTTGTCTTTAAGTTGTTGGTAGTCGTTTCGAATATCTGCAACAGAACTTAAGTCTCTGCTAACTTCAGGGTATGTTGGTTGTTCTTTTACAGGAACTATTGTTATACCATCTTCGTCTTCGTATGGTTTCCCCACTTCAACATCTCTGTCTTTGACATTGACAACAACACTTTGACTGTTTGTTTGAGTTGGTGAATTTAACTTCACATCTGCCACCGCCATTAAACCTTTTGAAACACTTACGCTTCTATTTTTCGGAAATGACATTTTACTTAGAATAAAAAGATGGACGTATTTGAGTATCTCTTCGAATTGAAGCAAAACAAAGTTTACACACACAAACAATACAAGTTCATTGACAGAATAGTTCTTTACACAAACAATGGAAAATGTTATAGAATAGCAGTCTTTGCTGAACCAAAATATTTTCATAAAGCAAAGAAAGTTGGTATAACCGAGATGGTGAAAGTTCTTGAAGCAGACAAAAATATAACAACAAAACTGACCGATATTTCTAAAGGTAAGTTTATAATACAATATTATATCAAAACTGGCGTACTGTCAATATTTGACGGAGAGAAGTCAGTTCAAGAACAACTTACTGACCTGCTGCCAAAATCTGCTCGATGGAAGCTGTCGTTATACCAATCTGAGGAGCCCCAGCAGGTTTCATCGAACGAATTTTCAAAAGAGCATCTTCCGTGAAAAGTGCTATTGGTTTTGTAAACTTCTTTGCTTTCAATTCATCTGGACCGTCTCTGTCACCAGTATATTGTATTTGAACTGTACCAACAGTTGAAATACCACCCATAAAGTCTTCTGAGTCAGCAAATGGAATGCCAAGCCAAAAGTTTGAACGGTCTCCATTTGTATATTGAGTGTTTTGACCTCCTGTATGAGTCCATACTTTCACATATGGCATAATAGAACTTTGCATTTCAGGGTTAATGGTTGTTGTGAAGTTGTTGTTAAAGTTCATAGCATCTAATGTCAAGTTGTATGACCTCATATCCTCAACTGTGGAATATTCTTCTCTTGGATAATATTTGCCATCTATGTTTATATGATATTTAATACCGGGGTTGTAGAAGCAAGAATAGTCATTTATAGTTCGTCTGAACAGTACAAACATAGTATCTGCATGTTTCATTGCAGTTGTTAAGCAATATCTGTTCTTGCACCTGGGTCAGCACTTTGGTTTCCAACTTCACCTGCAAAGTCTTTGACAGATATTTGGTGTATAGGGAACATAAGTGGAACTGCAATATATTTGGCAGCTAAAGCATTTGAAATATCTGGGTCCAACATATAGACTGCAAGTCTGCTTTCTATTCTCTTGCATTCAAATTTTCGCATGTGAACTTAACTGGGTCCCAAGCAGTTCCAGCAGCATTGAAGTAGTAGTTTACTTCAGTGTTGAGGTTTGAGAAACCAAAGTCTAAGTCAACTTTGTCTTTGCAAAAGTCACAGAACTTGGCTCCACCAGTTCCAGCTACAGTAAGAGTGAATGGGTCTTGTGTTGGTGCAATGACTAAGTTATTTTTGCTTGGAGTAAGTTCGATAGAAATTTTTCCTGCCCAGTTTGGCAAGTATCTTAAAAACCTGAAGATGAGGAAAGATGACAAAGGAACTCTAAGTTTCAATTTTACTTTGGTTACTGCTGCTGCAGTTTGTCCAGAAAGGTTAACATAAACTCCTGGAACGTTAGGGTCAAGTCTTCTTATTTTCTCAATAGTTGCATACTGGTCTGTTTGTTCTCTAGCTTGTGGTTGTACTGAGTTTCTCAAAGCGAACCATTCATAGTTTGCCCATGTTACTGTTTGAACTAAGTCAGAGTTAGAATATATCTTATATCCCATGAAAACTTCTGGAGCATATTGGTATCCGACATAGAAAATTCCATTGCAACCTTTCTTGTCAGACAACTTGGCAGAAGGTTTTTATTTCAATGTCTTGTTCCACGTATAAGAAAGAGTTGTCAATAGAAATTATATGAAACCTGTCGCAAGCAATATCTACTGTTGTTGAAGAACCTTCTCCAAACTCACCTACGTTTCCATAAGAAACAGCAGTTGTATATTCGTAAGTTCCAGGAACTATTTCTGACCTTCTAATGGCATTGTCGCATTCGTTATACCATTCGGAAACATTTCCATTCATGGCATCCAAAACTGTTGGCGTTATATTCTGAGCGGCGTACATTTCATATGGGTAAAAATATAGAATAGTTGGGTTTATGTGTCATAATAGAACCCACGTGGACCAAGCTTTACTTTCTTCCTGACTGAGTTTTTAACTCTTCTTTTTCCTTCATTGCCACTACTTTCACTAGATGAAGTTACTTCTTCACTACTTTCACTTTGTTCTACTCTTCTTCTTTGGTGTCGCTTTGGTAACTTGCCCTCTGCTTCAAGTTGTTGCATCTTTGCCTCATGTTCACAGTATGTTGTAAATTTCCCATGTCCTTTTTGCCTTTGGGCTCTGGTCGCCCATCTCAGGTAACCTATATCCTAGAAAGAGTTTGTCATAGTTTGTATTTGAGTCGTCGCGTATTGTTTGCATGACTCTTTCCTGAGTTTCCGGTTCAAGCTCTTCAAACAGTGCCTGTCCATATGGAATAAGCTCGTTTCCAAATATATGTTTTTGTAGCCATTCTGGTTTTCTTTCCATGTTACCAACTATATCTTTTGTGAATGGGAAAGCTTTTACCCAATCTTTCAGTCTTGCGTCGTTTATTTCTGTAGTTGGTTTTATTTTGTCAAGGAACATGTTTTTCAATACTAACATTTCATTTGGTACTGTCCATTTGAGTTTTCTTAAATATTCATCCCTTCTCAGTTCATTGTCTGCAAAGTAAGTTTTTATGACATTTTGTAAACTTTCGTTTGCAAGGTCATGTACAATAGGTTCTCTTCCTTCTCTCTCCCTAACTTTCTTTCTAAACTCTTCACCAAATATACCATCTCTATGGTTCTGTGTAGTTCTTTGAGATAAATGTTCTAGAACGTCAGGTGTTATATTTCCATCAGCCATGTTCATTTCATACTGGTCCAAAATATCTGCATGTTTCATATCTTTCAATGGCATTAAAGCCGCGCTTAAAATACCAGCTATATCTCGTTCACCATTCAATTCCATTGCGTCTACAACTTCTTGGAATTGTGGTTGTAAGTTTATGAACCACCTATCCGGGTTAGCTTTATGACCCCATCTCATTGTAGTTCCATCGTCTGCAGAAACAAAAGTAGGTTTGTTTCCATCTTGGTTAGGTTCTGAATGAACTTTAAACAATGTTTCATTTCTATATGTTTTCTTGAAATTTAACCTTTTATTTTCACCGAGTTCATCCGAAGATTGAACGTTAAATGCTCGTAAGTAAAAAGGGTTGTTGTATTTGTGTACATTTTCTTTCAGTACTTCCATTCTATGCTGAATATTTTCATCTGGTGTTGGAGTCTTTTGTATGTCGGCAAACATTTTTCGATATTCTTCTACTATGTCAGCCGAATTTTTTTTAGACTCTTGGAAATATTCCATATTCTCCGCATACTCTTGTTGAGGGTCAAGATTTTTCGGCTGTTCCAAATCTTCATCTAGTTCTGTGAAGTTAGTTTCCAAAGGAGTGACTTGTTCGTTTCCTTCAGGCTCTTCTAGCTGTTGTTGCTGAACTATTTCTTCCATGTCTGGTTGTATCTGAACTAGTTCTTCCTGTGGAGTTTCTTGTACCTCATCTGCTGGCATTTCATATATTCCGAGACCGTTTTTAACAATTCCCTTCTAAGTCATCCGGACTCATAAACCTTTCTTCTTTCGTTCCGTCTCTATTTTTTACGCGTTTCATGACGGGAGTTGAATTGTCATTTAGCTCTGACATCAAATATCTCGGAGTAAATTCAGTCATGTCATTTGGATGATATGCTATTAAATCATATCCCTTAGCGAGCTTGTATTTTCCAGGTTTGAAATTATATCCCATTTGGTGCTGAACCATAAAGCTAAATAGGTTCGGGTCAGTATTTCCTCCCTTGAACTTTCTAATAGCTTCTTTATATCTGTCACTAAAGTCAATACTATCTGGGTAACCATAGTCTTCCTTAAGCCTTTTTAAGAATTCTTGGTTTCCTTGTTCTCTACTTCTTTTATGTCCTTGCTCTGTTTGTGGTTGTTGTTGTGCTGGTTGTGGAGGTGGTTGTTGTGCTGGTTGTGGAGGTGGTTGTTGTGCTGGTTGTTGTGCAGGGTTTTGAACTGTTGGTTGTTGTGCTGGTTTTGGTTGTGGTTGTTGTGCAGGGTTTTGAACTGTTGGTTGTTGTGTTGGTTTTGGTGCATGCCTGTGTCTATGTCCATGTGACGATGTAAATGTTTTAGGTAGTCCTGGTGCAGGTGCTTCTCTTGGAGGGTTTGGTGGTATATAAGTTCCACTAGCTAGTATATAAGTTCCACCAGCTGGTATATAAGTTCCACCAGCTGGCACATATGTTCCATCTGCAGCGTAATGTCCTACCTGACTTTTCGTTCTTAAGAAAGCATTTACTAGGTCTGTTTTGGTCTGTTGTAACTCTTTTTCTTGACTTTTCACAACAGTTGCTCTAACGGCGTCATAGGCACTTTGAACTGCCTGTCTCGTTGCTGCATCTGTTATTTTCGTCATATTTTGTGCTACTTCTTTTAACTCTTTGTCGAAACCTTCAGACTTCAGTTTCTTTCCAGATGAGAAATCGTTCACTTGTTTCACCTTACTATGAAGAGCTTCGAAGGCGTTCTTAAAGTCAGCATTCGTTAAAGCTTCATTTGAACTGTCTTCATCCGCTTGTATTTTTGTCCTTATTGACCCTATGAGTTGGGCTGCTTTAGCGTTGGCTTGGGCATCTAACCAGTCATTGTTAGCTTTTATATATTCTGCGCTTTTCATTGCCTTTTGCATGGCTGCGTCGTTATTTTTACTTTCTTGTGCTAAGTTTTCATACTGTACGGTTTGGTTTTGCAACTGTAAAAGTTTTTCTGCCTTTACATTTGCTTCAACTTCTTTTTTATACTCATCGCTATCCATATATGTCTTCAGGGCTTTTTGTTTTATCTCTTCATCTTTCAGTACTTTATATTGAGTAGTATGGTTTTTTCAAATTTATGACATCTTGTTCCATTTTTGCTACTTCTGCTGCTTTTTCTGACACTTTTTTCGCATATTCCTCTGTACTTAGTTCTTTCAGTTGTTCTTCTTTCTTCTTTTTCTCTACGTTTAACTCATTGAGTTTCTTTGTGTGTCTGTCATATTCTAGTTTCTTTTCGTTTTCACCTATTTGCTTCTGTATGTCTATGTTTGACTTTTTGACATCTGCTATTTGATTTTTGAGTGAACTCAAATTCATTTGACTTTGAGGGTTATATGCTGTTCCGTCTGCAGCTCCACCATAGCCTGCCATTTTCGCTAAAAGTGCCGCTCTTAAACCTCCACTCTGTGCACCAACAACTCGGTTTAAAAGCATAGGATTGCTTGACATTTGTTGCAACATAGTGGGGTCATTCAGCATTTGTTGTTGCAACTGTTGTTGTGGTGTTAGTCTTACTATTGGATGTTTCAATGCTCTCTTCCTCTTACGTATATTCTTACGTAGCTTACGTGGCATTTTAAGTGAAGTTAAAAAGCGTCATTTGACAGATGGAACACATACTTTTTCAGTAAGGACATGTGGGGTGAGAAAAGAGGTGAGAAAACAGGTGAGATCTCACCTCTTCACCTAAAATATATTTTTGCCGAATTCTGTATAAAATTCTGAGTAAAATGACAGATGTTTATATGACACTTTCTCCGGTTTATAGGACCTCTCTCATATTCTATCTTGTCATATCTAAACTCATAGTCATGTATGTCCTCTAAACTTCATTTATACTAAACATCTTCGGGGCTAGAGGGCACGAAGTGCCTGGAAGCCCCAATCCTTTTTTTTTTTTTTTTTTTTTTTAGTTGTTTATAAATTATATTATATTATCATTTAATATTATTTTGATAATGAAGATTTTATTTTGCAATAATATAAACGAAATTTTTTACCTTATGAACTTTTGATGGAAATATGCAAATTTAAAATAATAAAGAAAGCCGCGAGCGAATCGAGCGGCTTAGGTCTAAGATTTTGATTCAAATCTTTGCTTATATTCCTTAAATTCTTTATGAAACTCGCAACAGTTCCATAAAAAATTTTAAATTCTAAACTGTCGAAATTACCGATCGGTAATCACACCCTTCACGGGTGTGTCACTTTTAGCTAAAATTACCCCTACTCATTTTATCGTCGGGGAAGCAACACAATTCCCTCAAAAATATTGAAAAAATATAGAAAATAAAATGAATTAAGATGTACTTAAAATGAGAAATAGATTATGATATTAGATTTTAGAAAAAACAGACTTTTGATATAACTTTTGAGAATCTCATATAAAAAAAAACATTTAAAAATAAATTTAAATATCTTATTTATTTTACTATTGTAAATATATTCTCAGATTTTTAGAAAAAAACACTTTTCATAAGTATTCAATATTTGAGAATACGCTCCAAAAAAAATAGATTCTCTTATATTTGCTTATATAAAAGGAAACTCTCTATCAGATGCGAATGCATGAATTCAGCACCTCTGATAGAGAGTTTCCTCTTATATAAGCGGATCTTTTTCATGAGTTATTGTTAATATAAAAACATAAAAAGCTACCAATATGAGAAATTAAACCCTGCGAAGCGCCAGTTCTAGACTGGCACCTCGCAGGGTTTAATTTCTCTTGACAAATGACAAAACTTGTTCGCAATTGTGAACCATTGCGAGCAGGTTTGCCAGATATCTGGAAGGAATTGCTCCTTATGATATATGCATTGTAACTGTATATATCATAAAGAGCAATTCCTTCAATTAAACGCAAAAACTTTGGTGCAATCGTTGCTGATTGCACCAAAGTTTTCGAACTTTCCCGAGGGAATTGGAGGGTGAGAGATACATAGTCTATCTATGTACCTCCCACCCTCCAAATCCCACTCTAAATGGGAGAAACTTTGTTCGCATGTTATCTTATTCAAACAAAGTTTCTCCCATTTAGAGAAGGAATAGGAGCCTACCAGGCACTGATATATAATCAGTGCTTTGTAGGCTCCTATTCCTAATAAAAATTTGAAAACTTTGGAGCATTTGATTATTGTATTTTGTCAAGAGAAATTCAACCCTGCGAAGTGCCAGTTCTAGACTGGTGCCTCGCAGGGTTTAATTTCTCATATTGGTAGATTTTGATGTTTTTATATTAACAAAAACGAATGAAAAAGATTTGCTTATATAAGAGGAAACTCTCTATCAGAGGTGCTGAATTCAGGCATTCGCATCTGATAGAGAGTCTCCTTTTATATAAGCGAATATAAAAGAATCTATTCTTTTTTGGAGCGTATTTTCAAATATTGAATACTTATGAAAAGTGTTTTTCCTAAAAATTTAATATAATGCTTAGCACAATATATAAAATTAAAATATCTATAATTATTTTCTATATCACACTTTTCATTAGACCTTGAAAAGTCTTCTCAAACTCTATTTTTAATTATTTTTAGATATATCTCAAGTGTGATTATTCAAAAACTCATATAGACTATATTTATTTTTTCATTCAAAAAATTATATGAGAATCTCAAATTAACTTTCAAATTTTTTATTTTAAAAACATATTAATAATCATATTTTAAGATACTTTTTCGCCCAAAAAATAATCGTACTTCCTCGACGATTAATAGGCTCTCAATTTCTATCGTTGACACTACTTAGCATGCAACACTCTTTGTATTGTTTTAGTAAAGAAATAAATTCTATTGTTCATCCTATATTTTCATTTTTGCATATTTTTTTTCATATTGATCGTAAAAAAATCTCGAAAAAAATATAGGTGTATCAACTAAAAATTGTAAACTGAAAAGCCACTTTTTCTAACTTTTTCCCACATTTTCGCCTGACATTCTATCGTATTTTTAATCCATTATATAATAAAATTATATAATCTTTAATTAGTTGATAGCCTCCCGCCTGACATTTGACGCGGCAAATTAGAAAAGTGCAAAATTTTTATTACTAATGGGAATATGAACTTTCATAGAGAAACCTTCTTGAAAGAACTTTTTACTGGCAAAGAATAATTTCAGAATCAGACCATACGTACAAGTCTTTAATAATATTCCTTGAAATTGAATTTTTTAATTTCAATTTAGTGGCTGAATAGTATTTTCCTTTTATTAGTTCATACTCAGAAATAATTTACAATAACATTCACTTCACACCACATAAGGTCCATCACAATTACCAATATCTATCATCATAATATAAAAAACATTGAGACTATAATTTTGGCATACACCCTTCACGACATGGATTGTGTAAGTCGGATTTTTCCAAAAAAATAATTACTGAACAAATTGTAAATTTACCATAAATTATCTGGTTAATTTGATTAAGTTTTTGACAAAATATCGTTCAACATTGCTAATTTAGTATTTTTAACTTGTTGAAAATGTTTTTATACATAAATAAATTTTTATAATTCCAAATTCGAAATAATAAACAATATTTATCTACATAGGATGCTATTTTGAGAAAATATATTATTATAATCAGACCTTGTAGAATTGTTATTCCTTAATAAAGAGATATTATTTTCACGAAATATCAAATATCGATGATCAAAGTTAATACTTATCCTTTTCTATCTATTTATGTGCATTATTCAATATATAAACAGGTATATATTGAAGTATTAATGGAAATTTGATCTAAAGATCCAGAAAATTATAAAGCAATATATATGTACAACTGCATTATTAATGTGCTCTATGGATGAACATTAATCGTTGAAACAAACTTAACTTAGATATTATGGTTAGAGTTGATACACTTCTAAAAATCTAACTCGGATCATATGAACAGAATTCGATTTTCGAGATGAAGGAGTTCAAGACATGGAAATTTCTATATTTGAAATATGAGGGATTTGTCAATTTTGAGAAAGTAGTTCTTTATGCTTCTCAATTTTGAAAAAAGTCTCTTAATTTTAATGTATTGTTTCAGGGATTTTATCATACTTTCTAAAAAGCATGAAAGAAAATTTCTTATAGCAATATATTGTGAATACATTTAAACCGTATGAAAACAAATACATCCATATTATATAAGAATTTAGACCCTTTGGCCATTCAATAAAATCTGTTTCAATTACATAAAAAACTTATATCAACTAGTTTCAAATATATTTACCAGAATTAAAAAGACTGTTTGATGATAGCAATGAAAAATCTAAAAAATGATTTTTTAATTACATAAAAATAATAAATAAACAAAATAACATAATATATTAATATATTATTAGAAATATATAAAAATATTCTAAGCTCTGAATGTGTAGTAAGAAGACAAAACAGGAGAAACATATGCAGGATATCCAATCGGAAGGTTGCAAGCTTGGTTGACGATGTTGTGCAAATCGATGACATTGAACTGTATAGAAAGTCTCTCTCTGTCCAAAGAACGCATGAAGACTTGTTCGAATGCTTGGCTGGACCAGAGACTTCGAACAGAACTCTTGTTCAGTCTGTAGACATTCCAAAGTGCTGTTGAATGTTTGAACAACAAAACTGTCTTAGTGTTCAAACAGTTTTCGACTGTCAAAAGTTGTTTCTTTGACATAGTGAATTCGTGTGCAAATTCATTAGATCCTGCTGGTGAAACCAAGTAACTCTCTTCGTAGTCCATGAAATGATCGAAGATTGATGAATCTGTTAATACATCTGGTTCATCAACAAATCCGAACTGTTGGAGAACTAAACTCAAAACAAACAATCGCATAGAAGGTGTGATGACATCTTCGAAGATTCGTTGGTTGTTAGAAAGCCAGAAGTTGTCATCATCAACGGACAAATTTCCATGAAATGATGAAAATACTTTAGATGCAATAACTGTGTTCGATTCAACACCATTAGATTTTGTAAGAATTTCAAGACAATCATTAATCAAGACTTGCAATTGCTGCTTCATTTCATGACTTAATTCAATCTCAAGATGACCTGAAATATATTCGATTTCTTGCTCACTACTAACAGTAATATTTTCATCTGGTTGTGGAACATTTACTAATAATTCAATTTCTTTCAATGTGAAGAAAATAATACAAAGTCTCATCCACGTCAAAACTGTATATCTATTCGTAGTATTAAGAATAGTAACTAACTCTGTTGCACTAACTTCATACATATCTAAAGGAATGTCACAATTTACATAATTCCAATTTGATTTCAAATGTAAAAATCCGGCGGGAATTTGCCAATCATTTGCCATTGTTGATAAATTCTCAAGATTTCGGATTTCGATTTGATGACATGTAGTAGCATCATTGTATTCGAGACCTCGAACTTGGAATTGAACACAATTAGGACGAAGTGAAATGATATGCAATAAAAGTGACATTTTGTTGTTAATCATCAAAAAAATGTCGTTTTCATCAACAGCACCGTAATTCCCTGAATATATTTGTCTTGCTAATACTTTAACTAAATCTCTAACAGCGGATAAATAAACAGGGGCTTCAAGAGGATGCTCTGTTGCATGAGATGCAATTGTTTTCATGACATCAAGATTTCGAGGTGGACTCAAATCCCAGAAAATGTTTGGTCGTGGTGCAGATGGGAAAACAACAACATGAAACAAAGGCTGCAAAAAAGAAAACAATTGTCGTGGAGCACCTGTAATAACAGACCAAAGATAAGTTTTGAAAGAAAAACTTCTGTCAATAAAAGGAAATAACATAATAACAATGTAATAAGGAATATAACCAACTTCTGGGAGTTCTTCTGTATAACTGCCAATAGATGAGAACCTTCCGAATATGTATTCACGAGTAATATCATACATATGCATAAGTTTGCGGCCAATCCAATAAGAAATCATAAATGAGCCAACAAAATTCGAAAATTGCATTTCATAATAAAAGTGACAAAAAACTAACAAAGAAAATGCATAAACAGAAGTACTTCCTACTGAAGTATTCAATACTATACATACAAAAAACCCAAAAATCCATGTTGGAATAGTTTCTGACAACAAACAAAATTTGATAAAAGATACTCCGAAAAATGCACGGATAACAATGAAAAAGAACTCAACATATTGGATTCTTATCCGAATAAACCTAAAAATAAATAGAAAATACTGTGTAAATGTAGTCAAAAAAGGAATTATTAAATTAATAACAACAGGAATGATAATCATAACATAAAAATATCCTTTCCGTGTTGTACAGTATATAGAAGCTATAGAAACAATACCTGTAAGAATAATTTGTTGAATAAAATAATATAATATTTTGTGATGTGAAATTGGTGAAATTGGGATGTTCAGAATGACATGGGATACAATAATAGCAACTTCGTCATGGTATTTGAACGTTGTTTTCGAATGAATAAAATAACAAATAATATATACAACAAAACATCGAATTAACTGAGCGAATGAGTCGAAAAGACCCACTACACCACATGAACCAAACAAATATCGGTTCACTGACTCAATAAACCATGTAATTGTCGATCCGATTGGAGGAATAACGAAAAAAAGCCAAACGGGGAGTAAATAAATACCGTACTTCCAAATTTCAATACCGTGGTCCTTGATTGTGTACCAATCTATCGTAATTTTGAAAATTTCAAGATGAATTGGTTCAAACCACTTTGGAAAGTACTCGAAAAGAAGAATGAAGCCACAAGCTATGATTAGAAAGAATGGACGGGTCATTCCGTTCGTAGATTCTTCGTGAGTTAGAGAATAAGGTTCATCTTGTGGAGGCTGGAGAATTGAGTAGATTGAACCGCCTGAAATAATGCAATACCACCAGTAGACACCTGCTGGTATATGATGAGAGGCGAAAGAAACGAGATATAACTGAAAAAAAGCTAAAATTGTCACAAAAAATATGTAAGTAAAGGTTTTTGGGAAAGGAAATACGATGGATAGTTGTTCGCGAGTGAAAGGAAACTTCTTAATCGTTCCAAAAAAACGAATATAACTTGTATTTTCTCCTTTCTCCTTTTTTTGAGATTGTTTTGGCTCCTCTTTGTGAGTATTCATGTATTCGATAAGAGTAAAGACTTCATCTGCTGAAAAACCTGATTGAATGAGTTCAAAAGCTGATTCACTGGCTCTTTGCTCATCAAACGGGTATGAATTTCTTAGTTTCCATAAGACATCACTGATGCCAGGTGGAGTTTCGATATCTGATATACTTTCTTCGGAATCTGTAGATAGTTCGAAAGAATTGTCAAAAATACGAGTTAAAATAGTTAGTGTTGCTGTAATAATTAGTATAACGAATGCTATAGATCCTGCAAAAATTAAATATTCCTTTTGTGTCCATGAATTTGGTTTAATAACAGCGTGAATACTTGTTAAAACGGCAAATGACGCAATTCTGATGATAGTAGGGATAATGCCACCAGAAACATTAAACCCAAAAAATGCTGTTCGGATACAATTTTGGGTAACTTCTTGGACATTCATAAAATTTTGTCATTTTTTTTTCCAATCTTCATGAAATATTTCAAATTCTTAGTAGATTTACTATATTTCTTCCTCAGTAGGGATAGTATGCTTATTTTGCCAAAGATGTTATGCTTGCCCAAAGGGCAAGCGTATGCATCCGAGGCCAGAAATTACAATATGATATCAAATTTGAAAATGTGGACTAAAGTATCATTGTAAGTTCTTTCGGACAAAAAGAAACATGATACGGTTTTGAAATTCTTATGAATAAATGATCTCAGAGCTGCCTTAATATAAAAAAAATTTCAATATTTACGGTTTTAAAAGTCAGATGGGCGTAAGTGCAGCCTTAATATAAAAAAAATTTCAATATTTACAATTTTTTAAACTTATGTGCTCAATTCTGACTTCTTGAAGAAGCAGGTTGAAATCAAACTACTAATTATATATCAAAAGTAAGAGCTAGTTCAGATTCCCTACTTTGTTCTGACGTTTCGTCTTTTTCTGTTCTAATAGATAATATGTATAAAATATACATGGGCACTATATTCAATATAAAACTGAAGAAGGACTGATAAAACTAGAGCGTCCAAAAATAAACATTGTTAACTTTTGGAAAACTTGAATAAATAAAAATGGAATCTATGTATCGAAAGGTATATCGTGCTATATATAGAGCATTATTATAGTATTTCAAAATAATTTCTAAAAATAAAAAGAAAGGATACATGAGAAAAATGCATGCATTTCAATGTTTATCATATAATATTTATTTTTTATTAGCACCTTTAAACTGAGCAATTCCAACATTCTTTATCTTAAGCGATAGGTTTTTTGGACTAATAGTTTGAACTACCTCAGTAAATTTTTAGCTAAGAAGCAAATCTACTGATTAGCAGCAAGCATTAAAATAGATCTGGTAAATTCGTCTTCGGTATCACAACGATTCATACATCCTCATATGAACAAAAGTAAATTCATCTTCGATATCATGGAAAAATTTTGCGCTGTTGTCTTGAGCTCGGCAAGAGCGTTAGTCATAAGATTTCCTCTAGTCTATCAAAAGTTTTCTAACAGTCCTAAAAGGTTATTCGAATTTGATTTGAGACTACAATTCAAATTGAAATATTTTAATTTTTGAAATGAAAAATATAAGTGTAAGTTCAACAGAATCAAATGCAAATTCATTCAATGGTATCGTCCCAGAATCAATTAAGAACGAATCGTTCAATCTAGAAGAGAATATCCAATCATTTAACGAAAATTTAGAAAATCAAGATTATGATAAAGCAAGTAACATATTAATTGATATTGCCAAGTATATTTCTATAGCTCAGCATCCTGCACAAGACTTCATTAATAGCAAATTCGTAGATACACTGATAAATATTTTAATTACACCGTATCCAAGAGCAGGAAAATTCAAAATGTTCACCATACACAAATCATCATTCAATATATTAATCAAATTACTTACGAAATCTAAAGAATTAGCAACCTACTTAGTAGAAAATTCGATATTTAATGTTATGTCACCATTTCTTATCAATGACGATGATAACTTTACATTATATCTCACATTGAATCTATTTTCGTCTATAATGGCCTATGACGACCAATACTTAGAAAGTTTTTTAAATTCTAACATCCTTTCTCAACTTTTTGAGATCATAACCGGATTTATCAAGAAAGATTCATCATCAGTTGCCAAATTTGAAAACAATATTTTACAATTTTTCTCAAAACTCATTTCATTTCCGAAATTTAACGATGAAACCATGGTTTCGTCCATATTAAACTGTTTTACTCGCATTATACAACATATTCAACCAGATATTACTACGGATTACGATGAAAAACTTTACAAATCCGGATATGATCCAGTTTTAACATATTTCAAAGATATTTTCATAACATCATCAACCGCATTGAGATCATTATCATACAACAACATTCTATTTGTAATAAATTCACCAGAATTACTAAATTTAATAAATAATTCACTTTACAACATTTACATGAACAAAACATGGAAGATCATCCTTGAAATGGATATAGCCATACTAGAAAATGCATCAGAATACACTGAATTCGTTCAAAATTTCATTGAATCTTTTAATATTGAAATTTTAATTCAAAACCTTCTTAAAAAGCCACAACAAGAATATTCAGTAGGAATCATGAATCTCTTATGCATTTTTATCAATCAAAATGAATCTTTTATCAATAATATTCCAATTGAGAATTTATTTACAAGAATTCTCAAAAAATCAAATAAATTACCATTCCATAACTTACAATCATTCGTCAAACTATGTCTTGTTATCATTAACAGCAATTTTGACGGAATTATTCCTTTATTATTCCAAAATGAACTGATTTCTCAATTTCCTAATGTTATATTAGAATCCCCAGTTGATTTACAAGCTCTCTCCATCACTGCGTTCCAGAATTACTTAATAAAACTAAGATCTCAAGGAAATTCTTTTGATGACTTTGTAAACTTCTTAAATGGAGAGTATAAAGACTTCCTTGTCCAATGCTGCGAATCTTCTCAAGATATTGCAGATTTGGCAACTCAATTTTTAGAAATTCTTGAAGAATAAAAAAAATTTAAAATTTTTATAAAAACTTTATGAGATTGATATTAAAATTTAAGATCAAATATGTTTCCTGTTAGAAATGATCTTGAAAAAGTCTTTATCTTATGAAATAATTATTAATTTACAACATCACGCCAAATCAGGATCTCACCCCAAAACTGTCCTCCTACCTTTATAGTTACCTCAAAATTTCACGATAAAATTGGATATTTTTCCAGATATCAAATTTGAATGAGAAAAAATAGTTATCTAAAGAAATTCAAACAGTTAGTTCGACCAAATGTTGTAAAAATTTTATTTAAAATAAACATCTTTATAAATATTACAATAAATCTATATAATAAATGGGTAAATTATTAAACTAAGAACTCATATACCTAATTTGTAAGCTGTGTTCTTTATCAATTGAGGTGGTCTTGTTAATGAATTGGCGTATTCTTCTTTGGCTCTTTGAACGTACCAAGAATCATCAGAACCAGATTCCTGGAACCGAGAAACAGCCATTCCCATTTGCCAATTGTTAAATCTTGAATTTGCTTCTTTAGCAAATTCTTCTGCTTTGTAATCGAGTTTAAACTGGAATGCTTGGTTACGGCGAGATGACTTTTTGCGTTTTTCGTTTTCCATTTGAGCTTGAAGTGGTAATACTTTCCAATTTTTAAGAACATCACGAGAATTGAGAATTTCTGCATTTCTTGCACCTATTTGCTTTGAAAAATCTTTACCAAACTTAGCAAACATGGCTTCGGCTTTTTCTAGATTCTTTTTTTGAACCATATTCATAACTACTGTTTCTCTCTCTTCTAAGTACTTATTATATTCAAGTTCCGTCTCAAAATCCTCAGTTACTAGACAGTATTGTTCAAATACTCGACGATGTGTAGCATTTTCTTGTTTATTCAGAACTTGAGTTTTCATTCGAATGACATGTGATATGAAAAAATTAGATTATGAATAATTCTATAGGATTTATAAAATATAGGTAGCATGCGTAATTAAAATCTTAAAGAAACAAGTGATGTTTTAAAAAGGGAGAGGAAATTATAGTTATATTTATTATGGATCTGAAATTTTTAAAGGAAAATGTAAAGGTTCCATAGTGTAATGGCTATCACTGGGGACTCTGAATCCCTAAATCCAGGTTCGATTCCTGGTGGAACCAAAATTTTTCTTTTTTACTTTTGGGTATCAATTAAGGGTGGCTTCCGACCAAATTGTCACTTTTTAGCCCAAGTGAGAAAATTTCGTAATTTATAACCAAGTTTTTTAAAATCTATATTTAATAAAGATTCTATTTTTCTTATTAAATTTCAAAAATGAGGGGGTTCGGAATCGTCCACAAATTGCCGAAAGGGTTTTTGCCAGTTTTGAATCCGCTTATTTTTATCGACCAAAATTATAATAAATATAATTTTCGATAAGTATTCTACCCAAATGATTCTTCAAAAAATTATTTTTCGGATTTTATTCCGTAAAAAAACGTTACAGAAAACGCCTATAAAATTTCGAATTTTCCCTAAAAAATTCAGTGCAGGTCGATTTAAGAGATTTTTCAAAAATAATCATATCAGTAGATAGGGTATAATATAGAGGAGCTTTATGAATAACTCAAAATCCGGGAAACTCAATATTCAACGAGAAAAACGCTTAACGAATCTCACTTTTGGTGTAAACATCACAAAAAATTGAGAGAGCTTTCTGGTCGGAAGCCTCCCTTAAGGCTTCTAAGTATCTGATTTTTAAATGAGAGTTAACGTGTTTGAACTAATTATATATAAATTTTCCTCAGAGCATGAATAATTCTTGAAATTTCCCTTTATCAATTTTTTTCTGAGAAATAATCGCGAACTCTTTCAAATTTATTTTAATCAGAAATTCATCCACATACTTTGACAATAGAATTTATGTTGTAAATCAAAAATTGAATTGAAATTAAGGTTTGTATAAAATCGATCATAACCTTTTGTGAGTGAGCTAAAATCTACTCACAGACTTTATCTATTACTGGATTTCAAAGAGGCATGATGCCTTAGCCAGGCATCATGTATGAAATCCAAGATCGATGCTTAAATTTCCATGGAAATCTGATTTTCACTTCATTGAGATCTTATATCTAAAAATATTTCATATTTTAAATGTCTACTCTCTTTATACATGATTCAATACGCTATTACGTTTTCTCAAATTTCGTTAAAATTGGTTATGACGAGTATAATTATTCAGGAGAACCAACAGCTGCGCTTAGTAAAACAGCTGTAAGTGGCCACTTAATAATAGAGAGATACTTTAATGGACTTCCAATAACAAATTTATCTCAAGATGGATTTTACAGATGCTATCTACTCACAAGATTAACAATCAAAGCAAATATAAAAGTTATCCCCGCTGGATGCTTTGCTGATTGTTATTCTTTGACTCACATCGACATACCACCTTCAGTAGAAATAATTGAAAAAAGAGGATTGATGTTTTGGAATATCACAGGCGCATTGATTAATGAAAGTTTACATTTTACGAATTCTACATCAACAGTCATTTTTCAACATGGATCTAAATTACATACATTAGAACCAGAAATTTTTGGATATATCGAAAAAAATAATTCTAATTTTTGAAACTCCTGTAGTGTGCGAAGTTAATAGTTCAGTTCTTCCCGAAACCAAAGAAGTTCTAATTTATTCAATTTATCCAATGAGTTTTGGTAAATATAAAGTATTATATAGAAATTGTACATGTGCATGCTTACCATATTCAAGATCTTTTAATACAATGTACTTAGGATTAGTTGTCTTATTTTCATAACAAAAAAAAATTGAGCGACTATGCGCTGTTATATCAAAAATATTGCATTAAATGATGACGAAAAACAACTTGAGAAGCATTAAACATATTATAGGATTGTTGTCATAAAGAATTTGAGATTACAATTAAGAATCGAAATTTTAAGAATTAATATCTATCTCGATTCATCTTTCATAAAAAATCTTACTCTGATTTGTGGCCTTTTCTATTTGAATATCAAATATTTAGAGAGTGAACACTGAACAATACCATTCCGCGAATCGATGAAAAAATGACAAACTATTGTCGTATGAGTTGGCCAATTACAAACAAAGTTACGTGTTTAATAACAAACAAATATACAAATTTATTTGACATAATCAATAAAAGTTTTGTTTGGAATTGCAGATGGAAAATGACCTTTTTCTAAGTAAAAGAGACCTGATTTGATAGCACGAATTGAAATATCAATGTCACATGAGAATGGACCTGTCAAAGGAACAACTCTGTGATTGAAAACAACAAGTGCGATGTCACACGACAAAATTGTTTCCCATGCTGCAAAGTCCATCATGATGATGCTGCAGCAAACAAAAACTGTTCTTGGTCTCATGAAAATACATTTATGGCAATTACTTCCTGATGTAGTGAACAAGAACTTAATAGTGGAGAAAAACCTTGCATATGATGAAATAGAGCCAGTTTGATCATATAAAAAAAGAAATTTGACTGTTGGAAATTTTAGTTTTATCATGTTTGTGAGTTCATCGAAGTTTTCAAGGCTTCTGTCTGTATTATGTGCCCTGTTCAATATTACATACTGAGATGGAACAATGTTGAACAATTTAAAATGATTCGTCAGTTTATCATGCAAAATCTGAACAGGAACTCCGAAATGCATGTTATGTGGACGACCTTCAATGCAAACAGCCAATCGTTTAGCAAAAACCCATTCATCAAATCCAACAAAAAAGTACTGTCGAACATCAAGACATTCTAAGAATTCTCTTGCATAACTTCCACATCGGTGACTAAGGACAACAACACAATCGCGTAAATAATCATTTGGAAGAAGAACTAATGGACATAAGTAATCATTGATGAAATGTCCGAAATTACCCATGTTGCCGTGACCAAATACGCATGCTTTGTCACACTCTAAAACAACACTCCCATTACAAAACATTCTGATCCATTGAGGACCTGAATCATATGGTGGGCGAATAACTGTGTTACCAATGGCAAATTCGCCAAAACTGGTAGCATATGCATCTTTGTAGATTGCGATTTTTCCATGGAAATTGTTAAGTAAATCAATAAAACTCTTATCTGGATATTTAGGGACGAGATCGATTCGATTAAAGTAATCTGAGTTATTTATATACTCTGTGTTCTTAAGAAAACCGTATAATAGACCTGTTCTTGGTTTTTCGAAAGTCAAATTAAATGAAATAATTCGATCAATGAATTCAAATGCAGTGGATTCAATAATATTCTCGATAACAACAGATTTGTTTGTATTTACTTTGTTTAATTCGTGAATACTAGGATAAACGTCGAAAAAATAATTGAAATCTTTGTTTTCTATGAATGAAAACTGCATTTGTATGCATATCATGAGTAATAATAAAAATGTGGATGGATTATAAAAACATTGATCTGACATGGGAAAAATTATTGACCTTCGAATAAATAACGACAAAAAAAAAATTAAAGATATGAGCTTGAATTAGCCTTATAGTACTCTTGTAATTGATTGAATAGGGAAGAATTCTTCAGAAGCCTCTCTTGCAATGATACTCTTCTCATATGGATTTTAACCTGGTGAATATAAATTCCGAAATGAGGAAGAAAAATTGAATCGAAAAAGGGAAGTAATTTTTTTTTTACTTCAATGAAAATAAAAATCAAGTCAAATTGATTACAAAAAGTCATTCAACTTAGGTTGAGTATTAAAATAAGTATTATTACCATGATTGGATACATGCAAATGATATTCCAACAAGAAAATTCAAAATTCAAATTTATATGCAACTTGAAAGAAGCTTTTCCGATTATTACGGAAACTTACAGTTTGAAGAAAAAACAAAAAATGAAACCATTTCATCGACTGGTAATTTTTACATTCATAATTCAATATTTTCTTTCCATCAAAAACGAGCAATTTACCTTAATTCCAATAGCAAAGTATTACTTGAAACATGCACATTTTACAACAACAGCTCAAAAGGTTATGGTGGATCTTTCTATATCGCATATTCTGACTGTGTTTTAGTTCATATTTGCTGTTCACATTCTTCTTCAACTGATCTTGGATGCGGATATTGTATAGATTTTGCTAGTTCTAAGAAAAATTATGCTTTTGAATCATCAGTTTCATCATGCAGTGGATATGGAGGTGCATTTTCTCATTATCAAGGATATATCCAAGTAAGTAATATGAATACATCGAATCACGAAATTACTTATGATGCTGCATATCTTATTCAATTTCCAACAGGAACAGGAATTCTTAATCTCACAACAGCATTCAATACATCATCTAAAGAAGAAGCAGGAATGTTTAATAATGATGGAACATTTAAAATTACAAAATGCAATTATTTAAGTAATACATATACAGGAAGTGATAATGGAATAATAATATGTGATTATGGTACTTGTACATTTTTCGATTGCAGTTTTATGAATAATAAAGGAAATAAATTCTTTTATGGAAATCCAAATATTAATCATTGTTATTTTAAAGATAATGAAGTAAGTGATTATCCAAACAATATTGATTCAGTTGATCCATTAGATTCATTTATTTCTCATTATACAACAGATAAATGTTATGATACATATTATTTTTATTATAGAAATGATAATATCAATCTTCCAAATTTTGAAGTTAATGTAATCAGATCATACAAAAGATATGATAATGAAAATGAAAATGAAGAAGAAGGTAACGAAAATGAAATTAATAACATCCAAAACATTGCATTAAATGTTTATAAAACATCATTTGCTGAAGTATTAAACTTACCTTCATTATTTTCATAAAAATTAATTATATACACAAAAGTTTTTTATAATTAATTATTATTACTATTTCATGTTGAACAAAATCGAATTTTTGAGAGTTGATGCCTTCCCAGATTCATCTTTTACATATAATAACATCCTCAGTTCTCCAGATGCGGGGAACCATTGAAATGGGAAGGCATTTTCAATTTCCTTATCGTACCTCATTTTTTTGCAAGCTTATAGTTTATATAAAACAAACATTTATTAGAATAAAAATAAAAAATAAAATAAAAATATTATTTCTTTCTAAGAATTGGAATTGAAAGTTGAACCCTTATATTTTTATGAGGGAGAATAGATGTAACACCTTTAGAGAAAAATGTATTTCGAAGGCCACCACAAGCACACGAGTTATTGTGGTTAATTTGAGAATAAACATTGGCCAAAGAAGGACATTTAGAGAACACATCCTTAATCTCTGTCATTGGCTTCCTCATGAATGGTCTGACGTTAATAGACATCTCTAAAACTGTATTTAGTTCATCACATATGAATTTTGGTATCCTGAGTGATGAAACACCTAATGTAAGTCGATTTATCCATTCCTTGTAGTCATGGAATGGAAATGTTCCGAAAACTATGTAATATAAAGTAATTCCCATAGACCATATATCTGCTTTGAAAGGATCGAAAGGTTTATCTTCAAATACTTCTGGAGCACGATACAATCGAGTACCAATCCTGTCACAATTGCATAAATTGTCGAAAGACTGCGAAAACCCAAAATCTGCTAATTTAACGCGACCGTTCTTATCAACAATTATATTCGATGGCTTAATATCAAGATGGCATAAACCTTGTGAATGGATGTATTCAATAACGTTGATAATTTCGTAACAGATTCGAATTAACTCTTGATTCGAGACATTATTGTTGCGTAGATAATTTATGATATCACCATTCTCACAATCTTCGAGGATTAAGAAGCACTTATTGTATTCAGTGAAATGATCGTAAAGTTTAATAATATTTGGGTGAGACATTGACGCAAGCGAATTTATTTCATTATTAAATGATCTAACTTGAGAGATTACTTTGCATACGAATGTTTGATAATATTTGAGAGAATAAACACGAAGACATTTACCGTAAGCACCTTCACCAATAAAATCAAGGGCTTTATAATCATGGTCATGCAGTGTCTTATTGATTTTATCTTTCTCCAAGACACTTACCATACAATAATCTTCAACGATGAAATTGAATACTTCGAAATCGCAGCCAGAGTCACTTTTTGTTTGAGAATACTCAAATTCATAGAGAAACCGATTTTGAATGATAGTCATATAAAATCTATGTATGATTGAAAATCGAATTCCAAAAAACATGTGATTGGATAATCATTGAAAAAATTCTGAAGGAGATTGCAAACTATCGGTTTTATTAGTGACATAACAGATCCTCAGAGATCGTTTAATATAATCTACAGAAAATTTCAGCAGATTAACAATTTTTTACGAAAAATGAAAATTAATTCATTGAAAGTTTGAGAATAAATCAAAATATCAAAAGAATATTCAACGTAGAAATGAATATCAATTCGTGAAGAAGCCAACTCTTATTTTCATGGAGTTATTGTTTTTGATTTGTTAGTAGTAGGGTATGAAGGGTTTAGTGACTTTTTTTGTAAACGTAAGAATTCATACAATATCGAGCGATTTTTGTATCATTTTTTTTAACATATGAAGTAAAAAATATATGATTCTTACGGTTTTTATTCTTACGTTTTTGAATAAATCAAGATTTAAAAATTTTTCAAAATTGTAAGACATTTACACTCAGCCCATACATAATGAAATAAATCATTAAAAAATTAACATTAATTAAAAATTCATTTTCATCTTTTATAAAAGAAGCTATATATAGATGATGTCAGATATTCCGCGATTAATTAAACATTGTTTAAATCCTGAATGGGTTAAACTTCAATTTAAAAATGAAGATTGTGAATTTATGAAATGAATTATTTGATTCATTCTTTCTTCAATCTCTTCTATTCTTTTTGTTAAATCATCAATTTTCATTAATGAGGTGATTCTTGATTGAGGAATAGATTTCAAACTAACCACTCCTTTTATTTTTGAAATTTTGAATCCATCAACTTTAAACATTTTATTCAATTTACACGTTGTCAATTCTTCAAATAATTTTTTATTATTAGCATAATAGTCATTAAATTCTTCAACAGATGAAAAAATTTTTATTTCAGTAATTGGTTTAACAACGTTTATTTTTTGTTGAACATTTTCACTTTCATTTATTTTTAAAATCGGTTTCATTTATCATTAAATAAAAATTAGAATTAAAAGATGAAAATGAATTTTTAATTAATATTAAATCAGAAATGGCGGCAGGATTCTTTAAAAAATTATGGGATGGAATTAAGAAAGCTGCGGGTTGGGTTTATAAAAAGATTATTAAACCCGTTGCAAACTTTTTGGCACCAGTAGCGAAAACGGCAGGAACTATCATAGGTGGAGTATTAGGTACTAAAGAAGGTAATCCGGCGATGGGAGCACAAGCTGGTAACGCAATTGGTGGAATAGCTGAAGGAATACTTAATAAAATAGGAGGTAGATAGTGGAAAAATAAATAAATATTATTTTTATCTTAGTATCGGTTGTAGTCTTTGATAAACTTTTTCTCCTTTATTTAAAACTTCTCTTATTGGGGCAGCTTTTGGTGTTATTGATTCAGCAACGTCACTAATTGCTTCTTTATTCTTAAATATCCAATTTGCCCCCTTCTTCAATGTTTCCCAAACTTTACTCGCTCCTCTTTTTACTTTATTCCACAGTTTCTTAAATATATCTGCAGCCATAGTTGATTATTTCATTAAAATTAAAAATTCATTTTCATCTTTTAATTTTGATTTTTTATTTATTAATAAATGACGACTAACTATTTGGTGCCAAACACTAAACCGATTAATGGAAATGTGTTTCATTCATTCGAAAAGATAAATGAAATATTCGCAAAGAATGACGGTAGAAGATATTATAGAGAACTTGAAAGTTCATGCTATGACTCTGATACTCCATATTTTGATGATAAACAAACTCATTTAAGAATTACAAATCCAGCTCATGATGTGAACCAATTAGGTGACACATATATTAAACGCAAAGTTAAAGCAACTCTTGTTTCAAATAAAGCTTTCACATGTGATGCCGCTTTTAAATGCATGCGTTTATTCGTTGGTTACAAATCATCAAATCAAAGCTTTAAACAATTAGAAATAGAAACTGAAAGAGGTGATGCCGGTTATCTTCAGATGGATTGCGCCCGTGAATCTTTCGCATTTGCAACATATAAACCAAAATCAGAAAGGAAAGTTAAAAAGTTTGTTCATTCGTTATATAATAATGTTCAAAAATATGATAACTCAGTATGTGGTAAATATATTGACCCTTCAGAAGTTTTCAAGAACGCAAATGAAGAAGTTGATGTCACTTTTGATATGATTATTCCGGTAAATGATTTGTTAGCATTTCAGGCGTTCGATGATTATCCTAAATCATTTGGTGATATCATTCTTAAATATTATGTTTTCAGGGATACTTTAGTATTTTGTCAGGTTGACCCGTTAAGAGTTGCTGATTTACAAAATTACGTTTATGAAAAGATAACTGATGAAAATTATGAAAAGATTATGAATCATGTTTATAAATATGATCGCAAATTCCAACAAATCGGACTTCCTGCCAAATTAATTACAAGCTTAGCCGCTACATCTGCTGACGCAACAGTTGATGACGTTATTATTTCATGCACAAAGATGGAAGTTTTAGAGGATAAATGCATTACACCAGGATACAGTTTAATTGAAGAATCAGTTAAAGCAATACCACGTTTATTCAGTAAGGAAGATCCATTCATGATTCCAGCTCAACATATTGACGTTCGTTCACTAAATGGAGGTTGCATCACTCCTGAAGGTATCAGCTCAGATTTCTCATACGCTCTTCATAATGTTACAGATGTTGTGTTAACATTTCCGAAGAATGCAATGCAAAGAACAGTTTTAGAAAATCCAATGCTTCGAGGTCTTCAGGTCACTATAGATTCCAGAAACTTCCCCGATCAAGCGATGACCACAGTGGGTGACATATTCTTTACACGTATGCTTCAAGCTTCTGATTTAGATGGAGTGAATGAATGCACAGAAGAATACGAGGACTCATTAACTAGACCACTGAATGCAGATGATGGCACGCCATTAGCTAGAACATGGAAAGACCAAACTTCATTCTTATACACTATTACAGTTCAACGTGATGGAGCGGGTATATTCTTTGATGGATTAGAAACTTTCAACTCACAAGTTACAGTACAAGTGAAAGCTTATCCAATCATTCAGGGTGAAAATGACACTTACTGTTCAAAGGTGACAAATCCTCCTCAGGTTTGGTTTACTAGGACTACATATTGGACATGGACACCGGATGAAGGTTTGAAATATCATCCAACAGGTACACCACCACAGTATAGAAGTTCATATGATGAAATATTGATGAATAGAAATGTTTAAATTATAAATTTATTTTTGATTAAATGGATTTAAATTCATCCACCCTTATGAAGAATTAGCAGGAGTATATAATACATACATAGATGATATGATTAATGAAGCATTGAGTGATAATAGAAATGCTCTATCTAAGGAAAATTAATGAAAATTCCATATTCTGAATGTTACTTAAATTCAATCACTGCAGCAATTGGTAAAAAAATAAAGGTAAAACATTAACGATATTAAAACAAATTATCATTATTGCTAACACTTCCCCCTATTCACATGTGTTAATTTATATCAACCGTTCAGGTTCACCTTCAGATGATACATTTGAATCTTTAAAGCATTTAATCAAAATTCCAATTATTTATTTATCACAAGAAGAAGCGGAAGATTATTTAAAAACTTTTTAATGTATAAAGAATTATATATACAATCAAGAAGCAAGGATTAGAGGATAAAATTATTGATAAACAACGGGATGAATTATTTGAAACACTTTCTATTTCAAATTTTGATAGAGAATTTTTGCATTCACTCATTTTTCTAGATGATGCAGTGAAATCAAAACTAATAACAAATGAGAAATCATATTTTAATCAGTTATTAACTCAATGTCGACACATTCAGTGTTCATTCTTTATGGCTGTTCAATATTTCAAAGCATTAAGCACAAACATTAAATCAAATCTATCAACCCTTTTCATTTTCAGTGGGTTTAGTCGTCAACAGTTGAACGTTTGCTTTATCAAGTGAATTTACCAATGAGCATTAATGAACTTTACACACATATAGCAATTAGTGAACATGGAAAATAATAGTTGATTTAAATAAAGGAAGTGTTAAATTTGATTAACTTTTTATAATTAATTTTTATTTTTTATTTATAATTAAACATGACAGAAATAGCAAATCTTCTACAGGTTCCATTAAAACAAGGAACAAACAAAAAGGGTGCATATAATAGAACTATGAAAGTTCCTGATGGAATGAAAGAATTAGTTCATATTGTTGCTGGTCTTCAAAAAGATGTTAAACAAATGAGAAACGTTTTAACATTACCAGAAGCTCAAGCATATGCCAAACGTCAAGGTCCAAATTGGGAAGCACACGAAGCAGACATTACGGGTCCAAATGGAAAACCTGATGGTATAAATGAAGTTTTCATTACTGATGGTCAAGGAAATATTAAAGTCATAAATGGTTACAAATTAACTATAACTGATTATCCTAAACGTAAAGCATATAATGAACGTTATCCTATGCAATTTGATGAAATGGAAAGCTGTTAAACAATACATTGGAGAAGGTGAAAATGGTCCAATTAATTCATACCGTTATAATCCATATTCTTATTTCAATGAAGAATTAAATGCTATTGAAGAGGGACGGATGGATTACCACGATATATCTAAACCAGTTTGATGGTCAATATGCAAATATTAGACCCGAAATTTAGCTAAGAAATTCTTTAAGAGTTGCTTTATTCGATCCAGTTTTCGCAAATGTTAAAGATGAACTTAAACAGCAATTCCAACAATTATATAGCAAGATTGCATCAGGTGCTTTATCTCAAGCATTCAAAGATTTAATTAAGAAACCATTATATCAGCAACGAGGTTTAACTTATGATTTAGTTAAGGAATCAGATAAAGAAATTTG